TAATATCGTAGAGTGGAAGAATGGATTGATAGAACACTACTGCGCATGTGTAACATTGATAGAACACTATTGCGCATGCATAATATTGACAGAACACTACTGCGCATGCGTAACATTGACAGAACCTGCGCATGCGTGACATTATTAGAACACTATTGCGCATGCCTGACATTGATAGAACATTACTGCGCATGCGTAACATTGACAGAACACTACTGCGCATGCGTTATTTGATAGAACACTATTGTGCATGCGTAACATTGATAGAACACTACTGCGCATGTGTAACATTGATAGAATACTATTGCGCATGCCTAACATTGACAGAACACTACTGCGCATGCGTTACATTGACAGAACACTATTGCGCATGCGTGAAATTAATAGAACACTATTGCGCATGCCTGACATTGATAGAACACTATTGCGCATGCGTAACATTGACAGAACACTACTGCGCATGCGTAACATTGACAGAACACTACTGCGCATGCGTAACATTGACACAACACTACTGCGCATGCGTGATTTATGAATATGTATACATGTGTCAATATTGTTTTTAAAAGATATATACATATATATACGGCTAGGGTCGGTCGGTCGGTCGTTCTTAAACTTAGTATAATAGAGGATTTATTTATTTATTATTATTAAATTTATTATTATTATTATCTTTATTATTATTATTTACTATTATCTTTATTTATTATCTTTATCTTTCCATAATTAGTTCTATGTTTTTTTTAATATAAAACAAATAATAGCCTCTTAAGACTCTAACTGGAGTATAAAAATTAACCTGAAAGAGAATTCTAGGACAGTACACGAGGCCGTTTATAATTTTAAACAAAAAAAGCCAGTCATTATATCGAAACCTAGTGTGTATCTTAGGAATTTTTAGTTGTAAACGTAAAGCATCACAGTTATGGTAAAAAAGTCGTAACTAATACCAAGTTGCCTAGCAACAAAACGCAAAAAACGATTTTGAACTCTTTCAAGTCTATCAATGTGAATGAGGTAAAAAGGAGACCATATCACAGAAGCAAATTCAAGGATTGATAAAACAAAGGAATAATATAGAACTTCAAGGAAATTTAAACTTTTAAAATTTGATGCATTTCGTATAATAAAACCCAATGATCGAACAGCCTTGTTTACAACAACAGTAATATGGTTAGAGAAGGTTAAATCATCACTTAAGACAACTCCCAGATCTCTCACCTGGGTCACTCGAGTTAAAGAGAAATTATCAAGCTTATAATCATGATTAAAAGTAACTTTTTTTCTAGAAAAAGAAATAACAGAACATTTATTAATATTAAAATGAAATTTATTACTAATACACCATGGATGTAGACGATATAAGTCAGACTGAAAATTTATAAAAACAACATGAGAATCAATAGTCATATATAATTTCAGGTCATCTGCAAAAAGTAAAAAAGAATAGAATTTAAATGCAGAATTTATGTCATTAATGAATAAAAGAAATAATAAGGGACCCAGGTGAGATACATGGGGGACACCAGAAGTTGCCGTAAACATCTTAGAGTAAACACCATCCACACGGACACATAGGCAATTGGCAATTAAGTAACTACGAAACCACGACACAATGTTAGGGCCTATGCCTAGTAATTTTAACTTTTTAAGAAGAATTTCGTGATCAATTTTATCGAATGCCTTAGCAAAGTCCGCGTAGACGACGTCAACCTGATAACCACCCTCGACCGCAGATACCAAACTTTTATAAAAGATACAAAGATTAGTAGAAGCTGAATTTTGCTTCGTTATTCATCGTATTGCTTATTAAAATATAACCCTTCTTTACCTTGCACTAGAACACAAACACGAGCAGTCTCCTCAATTTTTGCTGAATGAAAAAGAGTCTTTTAAATTTGCTATACAAATCTTCCAAAATACACGGTATTTTCCTCCCAGAATCGATCATCATTTCGTATTTCCTATCATGGATACTAATTACTGTTTTTGGGCTCATGACACGTATTATATGATTTTTACCTTCTTAGTCAGATGATTTATCATCTTAACAAAGGGTTTCTACAAAATCCGACTGTTTAGATCCCAGGTAGAAAAGTAAACGTTAGCTAATGCTACTAACGTTAGGCTAACGTTAATCTAACGACATTTTTGGTCACTAATGTGAGATTATAACGTTAGTTAAAGTTAGTCTAATGTTAGTAGCATTAGCTAACGTTAACAAAGATCGATCTTTCAGTCGCTTACACTATTTCCGAAGTACCTAATCTTTTTCCGATATATTTCTTTGATACTAATTTCGGTCCTGCTTTCCAGTATTCTATAACTCTAATCGCGCTAATACTATTGTTCTTTTTTCCCAATATCCAAAATCAGTAGTTGCTAATATATTTCTAACGGGTTGCGGAAACTAATTTACAATACCGAAATTTACCTTAGCAGGTTCCATTCTCAGTACTGCACTTTTTAGTAATTTTATTTGTTGATTGTGATATATTTACAAGAACTTGTCTCTTTTGTTAAATCTTCGACTTTCTCATTAATTTTTTATTTCATTCTAAATTGTAATGGGAACAATTTTTCGAAAAATCTTTATTTTTTATGCATAATTAAGAAAGAAAATCGGTACCGTATCAAACCACATCTTAGCCAAACCAAATCTGAGGTTTTTTATTTGAAGATATTTGAAAGAGGTTTCTCTGTAACCGAACTATGCTGTACACTCACGTCATGTCGTTCGATATTTATAACATATAAACATATAAAGCAAGTTATTCTGCTTCCTACTCGCATCTTTCTCTGCTCCGACTCTCTCCAACTCACTCTCCATTTGGTTGATTATCGCTTGCTGTTCGTTATGTTTCTGTATTTTTATTATTAAAGTTCAACTTTAAAATTCATTTTTGCAGCCATATTACATATACAAAAACAGGCAAAGAGAATTATTTAAAATGTAAAAATTTTATAATTATAAAATTTTAACATTAAAATATTGCACAGTAATTTACCTTTTATAACCCTAGAAGGAGTAACTGGGGTGTCTGGACACCCCAAGCAAAATTTAAAGTATTCCTATGGCTTAACCAATAATTTTTTTACGCTCAAAACTTGTTGATAATTTAGTTTGAACCTCTATCTTTTGACACCTGTATGTGCCGCCAAAAGTTTTGCTCTAGGAAGAGCTCAAACTCCTGTTAAAATACGTCTGGGGTGTCTGGACACCCCAGTTACTCCCTAACGTTAGAAAAATTGTCAAGATAAGTAAATTCAAATTTTTTAAAAAATCGTTTTTAATCAGTTAAAATCATCTGATAAAGTATAAATTGATAGGTTATGCATGAAAAAGTTGTATTTTATAAAAAAGAAACATTTTTATACAAAAATTCTATTTTTATGAAAAATAGACATTCTGTATTTGTAACAACTTATGATATTTGAGTTAAGATTTATTAAAAATTTCTGTGCTCTCTCTACAGTCAGAAATTAAATTCTAATACAGAAAAATGTAGTATATGACAGTCAAATTTAAATTATAAATTCTATATTGTTAATAATATTTTAACATATATTAGAGTTATTAAGAATTGTTAATTAAAACTTTGATTAAATATTAATTTACAGAATCATTTCATAAGTTATTAATTTTAATGTTAATATATTCAGATATATTAAGTTTGTAAAATTTTAAATTTATAACACCATTTCTAGTAAATATTAATTGTTTAAGTCCATTTTATAGTTCATTTTTATGATTTTCACTATTCGTCAATTGTCTTTAATTTCTTTCACTTCAGATGTTCAAATAATTATGTTTTTTGGAAGTAATACAAAAACTAATTTTTTCCCCTAAAAGTGTATCTATTTAACTTTAAAAACCTAAAATAGTTTTAAAATTAGTCAAATTTTTAAGAAACTACAACGTTTTTTGTGAAAAAAGTCAATTTTGCAATTTTTTGGTGTTTTTTTGGGTTTTTATGGTTTTTCTTCAAAATTTTTTTAATTTATCAAAATATGAATAATATTATTGTATTTCCTACTAAAAAACCAATCAATTCATTATAATTAATTTTTTTTACGTCAAATATAAACCTTATAAAACAAGTTTAAAGCGTGGGGTGTCGGGACACCCCAGTTACTCCTTAGAGGGTGAGTAAACTAACGTACTCCTTCTAGGGATAATATCATTCATACATAATATATTTTTAGACAATCACAAAAATGACTCTAGTTAGGCCCCAATTGTATTCAATTTATATTTTTTTAAATAAAAAAATAAAAACTAGAAATTATAACTAGTATGGCCATATTAAACAAATTTAAACAAATTTACAGCCACGACACTATTTCCAAAGTGTGGTTTATGTATTAATTAATGTAAAGTTTTTAAAACGCGCAAGAAACTAATTGTTTAACAGAGCCTAAGTCTATAGGGTAGATGCACCAGTTTTGTCCACTTAAAGAAATTCCTGATTTTCAGGGCATCTTTTCTTATGATAATTATAGAAAATGAGGGACTGACAGTTAGTAGATTAATTATTGTTCTTAGTTTCTGAATTTCTTGTCTTTAACGGTTAAAAAATATTAATAATATAATAAATTAATAAATATATAAAAATGTCAATTTTGCTAGTTGAATGCATTTGTCAAGAACACTAATTGTGAAATGATGTTTTATCAAAAAATATACAGTGAAGGTAACAGAAGACTAATAAAATTAATAAAAGCGTGTGGTTGGCCAAAACCGGTGCATCTACCCAATGTGAAGAAAGAAACCCTTATAGACCTAATACTTCTAATTTAAAATCGTTCTGTAGGTGCTTATTTGTTGCTATTACATTGGACAATAAAAATAAAAAGTTTCTTTTCAAATTTATTATTATTCTTAAAATGTCATGCATTATTTTCAAAATTACCCTCTGTATTTAAAAATAATAAATTTTTAGAAAATGTTTTATAACATGCAATTAAACATAAATAAACTCTTTTTGTTAAAACAGTTCTACCACCTTTTGAACTCTGGCAAACGATTCTCATTGCCATTTGTCTAGCGATGTGTATTGTTTTGACCATAGGAGGCAATATTCTCGTACTATTAGCCTTCATTGTGGATAGAACTATCAGACAGCCCAGTAATTACTTTATCGCATCTTTAGCTGCTACCGACATGCTTATTGGTAAAACTTTAAACTTATTAAAGAAAAAATTGATTTACAAATGTTGAATGTACTTTAATTCTAAATTTTTTACAGGTACCGTGTCTATGCCATTTTACACAGTATATGTTCTCATGGGATCTTGGGATTTGGGTCCTTTGCTATGTGATTTATGGCTATCTGTAGATTACACCGTCTGTTTAGTATCTCAATACACTGTGTTACTGATAACTATTGATCGATTCTGCTCAGTAAAAATTGCTGCACAGTATAGGAGTTGGCGAACTAAAAATCGAGTCATCTGGATGGTGACGATAACATGGATTATACCGGCCTTGTTATTTTTTATTAGTATTTTTGGGTGGGAGCACTTTATAGGCTACAGAGATCTGGCACCAAACGAGTGTGTCGTCCAGTTCTTAAAGGATCCTGTTTTTAATACAGCACTGATTATTGGTTATTATTGGACTACTTTAATAGTTCTTTTTATTCTTTACGGTGGTATTTACAAAACTGCTTATGATATGCAAAAAAAAAGTGAGGCAAAGCAAAGAAAAATGCAATCTATGGTAGCACTTAGTGCCGGAGCCATGTCCGGAATGGCTGGTCGAGCAGCGGGTATCGGTATATCCAAAACCCAAAGCACTCTTTTGAGTCAAGACAAGCCACAAACAACTCCTGGAGGAGCCATTAATTCACAAATTTTAGGATTCGATGACATGACAGGAGACGACGATAATAAATCATCGAAAAAACAAATAGCTTCTGATGAATCTTCTTATAAACAATCGGGAGCATTGCCTACAGAAACCGAAAAGTCTGAAAGATCTAGTAGTCCTGCTTTCGATTCGGATGATGATAGTACGGTAGGACCTACTCAGCAACCTAGCTTTAGAAAAAGATCATCGTTAGCTGGCTTAGTAGCTCAATCGGGCGCTCTTCAAGTATTTGCCCCCAATGGTAGAATGAATGGAATAATTCCCGTAAAAGTAGAAATGAATGTACCAGTGAAGAGGCTCTCACCAACTAGTCCTATGCGCGAAGCTGTGCAGAAAGTCCAAACACTGCCAAAAATTCAAGAACTGAGTCTTTTGGACACTGATAATCCCATCGAACCAGATAAATCTAGCAGTCAAACACTAACTCCAGAACAATCATTAAGATCAAATGATGCGATTCATTCTGCAGATGATACACCCACTTTCCAAACAAAACACGAAACAATATCGTCTCAAACTAATATTATTCCTCCTCCATCACAGTTCCGAGGAAGTCCCAACATTTCTGAAAGTATATCAACATCTTCTCCTTCAACGGATAGGCAGAAGTCTTTAACAGTCTCAATACACGGTCAAGCTACATATGACATTTTAACAGGTCTAGATGGAGCAGACTTGCGTTACATGGATGAGAGTTCCGTCATAGTGCCGAGTCCTTCATTCGAAAGCCCTCCTTCATCATTTTCATGCAGCCTTGCAAATCCTCTCTCTACAGCTCCATCATCACCCATTTTAAATAATGCAACTGGAATGACTGTAGCAAATACTAGTCTACTACAGGCGGCATTGATCAGAGCCACAGCTCAACAAACAGTTTGTGCACAACCGTCAAACTCAGTGTCCCAGTGCATTGCGACATCGAATGCTGCTTGTCAAACACATCCTCCTCGAGTTTTTGTTACTCCCCAGGTAAACGCTGCTTCACAAACATCACCTATTGTCAGTAAAGTTCAGACAGAAGTCACTGTAAAAGCTGAGGATACAAAACCGCAACCAATTACAACAGTTATTTGTGCCACGCCAGTTGAATCCTCCAATAGTACAACTGAACGATTTTCAGATCAGTTAACTAAACCAAATGTACATCTTCAAAATTCATCATCGAGTAGTATACTACCCACTATTTCGGGTACTACAAGTGAACCAGGTGGTAAAAAGCAATCAAAAAAGTTAAAAGAATTCGTCGAAGATGAAGGAAGCAAAAAGGATTTTGTGAAAAGTATAGGAAAACGAATTAAAACAAAAACGCAGAAAAGGGACCCTACAATGGGGAGGCAAAAATCAAGAACAGAAAATAGAGCACGGAAAGCTTTTAGGACCATATCTTTTATTCTTGGGGCATTTGTCGTTTGTTGGACACCTTATCACGTATTAGCCTTGGTTGAGGGTTTCTGCTCTATGCCTCCATGCACCAACAAACACGTCTTTATGTTTGCATACTTTCTCTGCTATGCAAACAGTCCATTAAATCCTTTTTGCTATGCTTTAGCAAATCAACAGTTCAAAAAAACTTTTATGAGAATCTTAAGAGGAGACTTGCATATGACTTAAAATTATCAATTTAAAAAATTTTTCTAGTTGAAGATGTGTAAATACAGAAATATTACGCAGAAAACAATAGGTGAAAAGTGTTGCTATAACGATAATAATATTTTTAATTACGGGCATAAACTCCACTATCAATGTGATCTTCCACTTATATTAAAGTTCCTGATCTTAAAATATGAATCAACGATAAGTATTGTACTTCTATTAAAATATGTGATATGCTTATCGTTGACTCTAAAGAGGGTCCTAGGTTTGTAGATATTTTAATTTCATTTGATTATTTTTAATATAATACAATGTCTCTTTGAAAGAAAAGAAATACAAGAAGACTACTTATATCGAAGTATAAGTTGTAATTTATTATGAATTACGTATGCAAAATATTACTTTAAATTTTAAATCAATTATTCGTAAAGTAACGTAATTAATTTAACGTAACGTAACCACTACATCCAATATCATTTTTTTAATTTTAACTCTTTATTAACGAATGGTTACGATATAAATCACTGTTGTCTTCAAAAATTTGTCAAAAGTTCAAACAATTTTCATTTGTAAACGTCAAATATTGTATTTAATTTTACTTTGGCAGAAGAATTAATTATGTAATAAATTGATAACTCATGGATAAATATATATCATTGGAATATAAAGCATGATTGTGCTTGTAGTTGCAACAAAACTACAAACGGATAAAATTAAGTAATGATTAACTTCTATAAATTATTAAAACTTGTTACACAAAGATTTTTGGGATTACTGAATATTGGATAAGGCATGTTTGATTTTTAAAACTGATTTCTAATTCGTAATCAAGAACCATAAATCTTCTAAATTCAAGAATATAAAAATTCCCATTACTTTAAAAAAGTACTATAAGGAATTACGCTTGGAAATCAATTTTATTAAAACAGCTTTGAAAATTTTAAAACACGTTGAAAATATATATAATTTATCTAATTGTAAATTTTTTACACTACTCTATATTTATTAACAGTAAAGTTATAAACATTTTAAGTTTGATAATCCATCTTATGAAATTTGATATAAAAATATATGATGAAGCTTTGCGCATCAAACCTTTTGTTTAATATTTGTAAAAATTTTATCAATGTTTACAAAAAAAACTAATATGCTTTGCATAGATGTTATAATAATTGCTAGTAAAAAAATGAAGATGATTAACCGTATCATTTTTTTTGTATGACAAATGAAAATTAGATAATATTTATAATTTTCTCGATGCGCAAAGGTTGTTAATAAAGACAGCAAAATAAACTTGGCAACGCTGTAGAAGAAAAAATGTCAGACAAGGCGGGAAAATTTAATTTTTATACAATACTTAAAATATTATAAACATGTGAAATACTTATATTCCTAAGTAATTTTTTGTAAATGCCTTTCGCACAACGAAAATTTGTCATTTTCACCATTTCTCACTTTTGTTTATGTCTCCACACGTTTAAGTTTAACACGATATCTATATCTCAAACATTGTAGCATGTATGTCTAAAGTTTGCAGCGTTTCCAAGTCTATTTCGTAATAAAGATACCATTGTGTAAGTGCATATGAATACGTTCTATCTATGCGTCTATGGTTTATTATCAGTACAGTTACTCAAAAATTTTTGTGAAGTTTATGTTGTGAAAAATTTAAGTTTACCTTTATTATTGCGCGAAACGCTTAAACATTACAGCAACCGGGCGATAAATCTTACAAGGTTTAATAATTTAATTCCTTTAATTATTCAATATTATTTCTGCAAATTTTAATTCTCTTGCGAATAAGATATAGTTTTTCCGAATGGATAATTCGTGATGAACATTTGATCTAGGGTCAAAATCATATACATAGGAAATGCTTAATTGATTTAATAGAAGGTTCTTCTTTCGTAAACGAACAGTCCTGTGAAAATAGGAAGGAGAGGTTTCCGTTCTAAGGTCCAAAAATTACCTAAATTTTAGACCCACGTTGGTCACTTCATATTTTTATTTTTTCTACAACCTCTACATTTGAAATGAAATCAAAAACAAAATTTTTTTTAAAATACATGATATTTGTTGAACCCTGACGTTTTTCGATTTTTAAATAAACAATTTTAAAACAAAATAGCGAGTATTTAAAAAAGCTCATTTTTTAAACTTATTTGCGCTTTAACGTTAACAAAAAATATTTATATTAATTTAAAAAACGCTCTGTCAGGGCCTCTCAAATTTAATTAGCTTTAAGGATAACCTCATTTTTCACGTTTAGCACGAAAAATCCACTCGGATGCACTATATCGCATATTCTATCAAAAACAAAATTTAAATTTTCAGGGCCGTATTGTTTACAAATATGCCAAACAGAATGTCTGCCTAAACAATATTTCTATTTATTGTCACATTTATCTGTAGATATAAAAAATTCCAAATTACATTGTCGCTCAATTGAATTTGACAACTATATCACAATTAAAGACATTACGAAATGTCTCATTTTAAAGCTTACATCTTCGTCTTTGACGAAATGAAATAAAAAAATTAAAAAAAATTTTATTGATCAATTACTGTTAAGAATAAATCAAATTTTCAATTTTTTATAAATTTTTAATAATATCAAACCATACCCAACAACGATAGTTGCATAAATATCATTAAAAAAGTTGATAATTTGGAATTTCATTTGTGTCAGTTCTTTCATTGTTATAAATTCCCTGATAATAAGCCTTAATAAGTTATTATGTAAAGACAATTTTTAATTAGCGTTAGTAGTAAATACGAATTATAAAAATAAATCAAAATATATTAAGAATAAAGTAGAAATTGAAACTTCAAAGTATTGTAAATAAGACAGTGCTCATAAACAAAATCAAATATGTAAAAGGATCGACCATCAGAAATTTTTTTCTAGATTTTAAAAATGTATTACAACTAGATTATCCAAAATAAAAAACCTGTATGTAGGGCTTTATGAGAGGAATAAATTTTTAATTTTAGAACTATAATTATGAATTTATTTTGAATAAACCATAATTTTATCTAAATACGAATTTATGAACGAACATTAAATAATATAATATGCTATAAATGTGGAATACGTATCTACGTATTCTACAGAGGAAGCAAAAAATACTATAAGTTAGAATATCACTTTTCTCAAAAAGCTTTGCAAAGAGGATTTTAAAATTTTGAATTATATGATTTAGAAGTAATATATTTTAAGAATTTGGTAGAAAATTCTGTCTGTATTACTTTTCTATTTGATTTCATTCAAGAGCACAATGATAAAATTGGTTCAAAATAATTTTATATATGCAAAAATTTTATACATATAAAAAGAACATTTTTTGAGAAAAGAATTTTTTTTAAAAAAGCTTACTAAAAAAATGAAAGGAGAGAATGTTTATAACAAACGTTTATGCTTCATTAACAATAATATTTTAAAATGCACTAAACCACTTGAGCGGAATGGCGGCAGAATTGGCGTCTCGCGAGAAGTGACAGGAGCGTCAAAAATGGTGTTTAAACGAAAAGACGGTTTGCTAAGTTTGTTAAGAAATTTATTTATAACATTAAATTTAATTCGCACATTGTATTGTATTTCCAATTAGTATACATGAGCATTAAATTTCAGTGCTTAATCTATATGAAAATTACAAACATTTTTACAAGTGTATTCAAGTTCTGACGCCATTTTTAAAGTTTCTGTAGCGCATTGTTAGGGTGTTTACGAGATGCTCACCCTAGCACCGAAGCGACCAAAGGTTCTCAAAGTCACTTTTATTATTCTTTATTTATATGAAAACAAATGTGAGAAAAAAATTAAATATAGTTTACATTCTATTGCAATTCTAACGTGAAATAAAGTAATTTGTGTGGTTTAAAACAAGACCCAATAGTTTATTTTGTTTCTAATATTATAATTTTTCTTTAATAGTAATTTGAACGGCCAAAAACGAAATTTCTTGCCCTGTCCCCACTAAAAGTTTAAAAGTAATTGTTAATATTTTTAGCAATATGCAATAACATCATTTTAGTATTATCTAACTTAGTAGAGTTGAATAAAAAAATGTTTTATAAAAAAAGTATTTTAATTTTTTGGCTTTAAATTCTTTAACGCAGATTTTTGTGGTATCGTCTGTGCTATAAATAAAAATATTTACATAAAATTAAATCTATATTTATTTCTACTTTTGTAGAAGCAACAATTAGTTTTTTTAAATTTATCGATGAAAATAAAAATTTATTTGTAATTAATACTATGAATTTTAACACATTTTAAGAATAAAATTTGTAAAGAGCATCACAAAATAGTATCCACCGACCATTCAATATTTGACAATAACTCTAATAATCATTTGAATCAAATGTTAAATAAAATGTAGTTGTATTATTTCGATAAATAAGAATGTAGTGAATAAGAAATAAATTGCAAACTAATGATATTTTGTTAAAAAAGTTTTAGTTATTTGTTTTGATATTACTTGAAGACTTTCCTCAGTCCCCAATAAGAATTTTATGTTATAAAAGTCCAAACTTTTATTTTGTAATCGATTTTAATCATTTTTTTAATAAAAGATAATTTAATTTAAAAGTAATTTCGTTAATATGATTCAAATTAAACTTCGACAATTTTAAATGATTGTAAAACATTTTTATTTACTTTCAATTTTCTCAACTTGTTAAAGAAATTATAAAATTAGGTCCAGATCACCATGAACTCTTTATTTCAGACCTTCATCTTCAAAAACAAATGTATTGATACTTATGTTATTGTTATAACTGTAATTTTAGTTAATTATTAACAAACGCACCTTCTGTTCAACTCACTTTAATCAAATATGAATATCCATGGACAATTGCGGGATAAATGAAAAACCACCTGGACAACGATGGTGAGACAGCGAAGACAAAATCTGAGCAATGTGAACTTATTAAAGATGTCAGCAAACTTTTTTTGTGATCCAAAATTATATTATATATGTTCAATGATTGATTAACGAAAACAAAAAAAAAACACAACGATAAAAGGACAATTCCACCTGACTTATATTTCTTATATATTGTATTGCTAAACATATATTATTATATAATTAAATTATAATATTTGGTTAAATCCCACATTCACAAAAATGGCGTTTTTAGATAGCTGAAGTCAAGAAGTAAAGTCATTCATTTGTTCGGCCATATGAAAAGGAATGCCATCTACATACAAGTCGAACAAGTGAATGACTTTATGTCAAAATATATATGTCAAATATATATTATATTTGTCAAAGAAACAAAATGGCGAACAAAATGTTAATTTTTAAATCATAAACAATAGTAGCCAATAGACCAAGAGCAGTTATTTTTATAGATTTTTATGGACTATTGCCATAATTTTATTGCCAGATTTGAAGCATTTTAATTTTTAACTGACACAAAAGCTGATATTCTTTTTAAGTGTTGTTTCAACAACTTTCTAAAGAAAAGTACGTTAATTATTTTCTTCAGAATATCTTAAAATTCTATTTTAAACTTTTTTTCTTGAAAAATTAAGGTGCGACATATTTTTAATTTAAAATTTTAATTACTTTATCAATTATTTAAATTTTACATTAATTTCATTAATCAGAGATAGTCCTTTAAAAAACATCTTATAGATAGAAATTACATTTATTACATAACATGTACTTTAATTAGAAAGACAACTTTATAAATCAAATAATAATATAAAGTGAATAGTAATTAGAAAAGTGAAAACAATTGTTGCCAGTAGTAACCAAAGAAATTACTTAGTAACTTAAAATTACTTAGTAATTTTATCTCTTTTTATTACCGACTTCTGGTACGAGTCAACCGAAATCCCTAATTACCGACGCTGCGTTCAATATAGTTCGTTTATTATACACACGGCGCGAGCCCGCACAACTGAAGCCTACTCGGAGAGCTCAG